CACTCAGGTCAAAGTCTCAGAGCCCTCTATCATAATCCAGAGTTTTGAGAAGATTGGAGAAACTTAATTTTTCGCCCAAAATGAAAAAAAACGAAAGGGGTAACACTGTCGTTTTTTTTTCGGGTCGAAATTTTGAAGTTTGATATCTCAGCTCTGGAAGGGTCTAGATCATCCATTTTTGCACTCAGGTCAAAGTCTCAGAGCCCTCTATCATAATCCAGAGTTTTGAGAAGATTGGAGAAACTTAATTTTTCGCCCAAAAATGAAAAAAAACGAAAGGGGTAACACTGTCGTTTTTTTTTCGGGTCGAAATTTTGAAGTTTGATATCTCAGCTCTGGAAGGGTCTAGATCATCCATTTTTGCACTCAGGTCAAAGTCTCAGAGCCCTCTATCATAATCCAGAGTTTTGAGAAGATTGGAGAAACTTAATTTTTCGCCCAAAAATGAAAAAAAACGTAAGGGGTAACACTGTCGTTTTTTTTTCGGGTCGAAATTTTGAAGTTTGATATCTCAGCTCTGGAAGGGTCTAGAGCATCCATTTTTGCACTCAGGTCAAAGTCTCAGAGCCCTCTATCATAATCCAGAGTTTTGAGAAGATTGGAGAAACTTAATTTTTCGCCCAAAAATGAAAAAAAAACGTAAGGGGTAACACTGTCGTTTTTTTTTCGGGTCGAAATTTTGAAGTTTGATATCTCAGCTCTGGAAGGGTCTAGAGCCTCCATTTTTGCACTCAGGTCAAAGTCTCAGAGCCCTCTATCATAATCCAGAGTTTTGAGAAGATTGGAGAAACTTAATTTTTCGCCCAAAAATGAAAAAAAACGTAAGGGGTAACACTGTCGTTTTTTTTTCGGGTCGAAATTTTGAGTTTCGATATCTCAGCTCTGGAAGGGTCTAGAGCCTCCATTTTTGCACTCAGGTCAAAGTCTCGCGGCCCTCTATCATAATCCAGAGTTTTGAGAAGATTGGAGAAACTTAATTTTTCGCCCGAAAACGCAAAAAAACGTAAGGGGTAACACTGTCGTTTTTTTTTCGGGTCGAAATTTTGAGTTTCGATATCTCAGCTCTGGAAGGGTCTAGAGCCTCCATTTTTGCACTCAGGTCAAAGTCTCGCGGCCCTCTATCATAATCCAGAGTTTTGAGAAGATTGGAGAAACTTAATTTTTCGCCCAAAAATGAAAAAAAACGTAAGGGGTAACACTGTCGTTTTTTTTTCGGGTCGAAATTTTGAGTTTCGATATCTCAGCTCTGGAAGGGTCTAGAGCCTCCATTTTTGCGCTCAGGTCAAAGTCTCGCGGCCCTCTATCATAATCCAGAGTTTTGAGAAGATTGGAGAAACTTAATTTTTCGCCCAAAAATGAAAAAAAACGTAAGGGGTAACACTGTCGTTTTTTTTTCGGGTCGAAATTTTGAAGTTTGATATCTCAGCTCTGGAAGGGTCTAGATCATCCATTTTTGCACTCAGGTCAAAGTCTCAGAGCCCTCTATCATAATCCAGAGTTTTGAGAAGATTGGAGAAACTTAATTTTTCGCCCAAAAATGAAAAAAAACGTAAGGGGTAACACTGTCGTTTTTTTTTCGGGTCGAAATTTTGAAGTTTGATATCTCAGCTCTGGAAGGGTCTAGATCATCCATTTTTGCACTCAGGTCAAAGTCTCAGAGCCCTCTATCATAATCCAGAGTTTTGAGAAGATTGGAGAAACTTAATTTTTCGCCCAAAATGAAAAAAAACGTAAGGGGTAACACTGTCGTTTTTTTTCGGGTCGAAATTTTGAAGTTTGATATCTCAGCTCTGGAAGGGTCTAGATCATCCATTTTTGCACTCAGGTCAAAGTCTCAGAGCCCTCTATCATAATCCAGAGTTTTGAGAAGATTGGAGAAACTTAATTTTTCGCCCAAAAATGAAAAAAAACGTAAGGGGTAACACTGTCGTTTTTTTTTCGGGTCGAAATTTTGAAGTTTGATATCTCGGCTCTGGAAGGGTCTAGATCATCCATTTTTGCACTCAGGTCAAAGTCTCAGAGCCCTCTATCATAATCCAGAGTTTTGAGAAGATTGGAGAAACTTAATTTTTCGCCCAAAAATGAAAAAAAACGTAAGGGGTAACACTGTCGTTTTTTTTTCGGGTCGAAATTTTGAGGTTTGATATCTCAGCTCTGGAAGGGTCTAGATCATCCATTTTTGCACTCAGGTCAAAGTCTCAGAGCCCTCTATCATAATCCAGAGTTTTGAGAAGATTGGAGAAACTTAATTTTTCGCCCAAAAATGAAAAAAAACGAAAGGGGTAACACTGTCGTTTTTTTTTCGGGTCGAAATTTTGAAGTTTGATATCTCAGCTCTGGAAGGGTCTAGATCATCCATTTTTGCACTCAGGTCAAAGTCTCAGAGCCCTCTATCATAATCCAGAGTTTTGAGAAGATTGGAGAAACTTAATTTTTCGCCCAAAAATGAAAAAAAACGAAAGGGGTAACACTGTCGTTTTTTTTTCGGGTCGAAATTTTGAGTTTCGATATCTCAGCTCTGGAAGGGTCTAGAGCCTCCATTTTTGCGCTCAGGTCAAAGTCTCGCGCCCTCTATCATAATCCAGAGTTTTGAGAAGATTGGAGAAACTTGATTTTTCGCCCGAAAACGAAAAAAAACGTAAGGGGTAACACTGTCGTTTTTTTTTTCGGGTCGAAATTTTGAGTTTCGATATCTCAGCTCTGGAAGGGTCTAGAGCCTCCATTTTTGCGCTCAGGTCAAAGTCTCGCGGCCCTCTATCATAATCCAGAGTTTTGAGAAGATTGGAGAAACTTGATTTTTCGCCCGAAAACGCAAAAAAACGTAAGGGGTAACACTGTCGTTTTTTTTTCGGGTCAAAATTTTGAGTTTCGATATCTCAGCTCTGGAAGGGTCTAGAGCCTCCATTTTTGCGCTCAGGGCAAAGTCTCGCGGCCCTCTATCATAATCCAGAGTTTTGAGAAGATTGGAGAAACTTGATTTTTCGCCCGAAAACGCAAAAAAACGTAAGGGGTAACACTGTCGTTTTTTTTTCGGGTCGAAATTTTGAGTTTCGATATCTCAGCTCTGGAAGGGTCTAGAGCCTCCATTTTTGCGCTCAGGGCAAAGTCTCGCGGCCCTCTATCATAATCCAGAGTTTTGAGAAGATTGAAGAAACTTGATTTTTCGCCCGAAAACGCAAAAAAACGTAAGGGGTAACACTGTCGTTTTTTTTTCGGGTCGAAATTTTGAGTTTCGATATCTCAGCTCTGGAAGGGTCTAGAGCCTCCATTTTTGCACTCAGGGCAAAGTCTCGCGACCCTCTATCATAATCCAGAGTTTTGAGAAGATTGGAGAAACTTGATTTTTCGCCCGAAAACGCAAAAAACGTAAGGGGTAACACTGTCGTTTTTTTTTCGGGTCGAAATTTTGAGTTTCGATATCTCAGCTCTGGAAGGGTCTAGAGCCTCCATTTTTGCGCTCAGGGCAAAGTCTCGCGGCCCTCTATCATAATCCAGAGTTTTGAGAAGATTGGAGAAACTTAATTTTTTGCCCAAAAAAAAACAAAAACGAAAGGGGTACCACTGTCGGTTTTTTTTTTCTGGTCGAATTTTTGAGTTTCGATATCTCAGCTCTGGAAGGGTCTAGAGCCTCCATTTTTGCACACAGGTCTAACTCTCACGTCCCTCTATCAGAATTCAGAGTTTTGAGAAGATTGGAGAACCTTAATTTTTCGCTGTATCACTGGGTATCACTGTCGGGTTTTTTTTTCGGGTCGAATTTTTGAGTTTCGATATCTCAGCTCTGGAAGGGTCTAGAGCCTCCATTTTTGCACACAGGTCTAACTCTCACGGCCCTCTATCAGAATTCAGAGTTTTGAGAAGATTGGAGAACCTTAATTTTTCGCCCGAAAAAAAAAAACGAAAGGGGTACCACTGTGGGTTTTTTTTTCGGGTCGAATTTTTGAGATTCGATATCTCAGCTCTGGAAGGGTCTAGAGCCTCCATTTTTGCACACAGGTCTAACTCTCACGGCCCTCTATCAGAATCCAGAGTTTTGTGAAGATTGGAGAAACTTAATTTTTCGCTGTATCACTGGGTATCACTGTCTGGGTTTTTTTGGGTCGAATTTTTGAGTTTCTCTAATCTTCTCGAAACTCTGGATTCTGATAGAGGGCCATGAGACTTAGACCTGAGTGCCAAAATGGAGGCTCTAGACCCTTCCAGAGCTGAGATATGGAGATCCCACTTAGCATTTATGCTATTATAAATATCCAACACTTTCCCTACAAAAAAAGGGGGGGCCAACGTGTTACATAAATACCATGAAACTGCCTGAAGATCGGTTATAACGGTACACAACACACACATTTAGAGGCTTAAATAACTGGGAATGTTAAAGGGTGTATAGGCTAAACCAGGTGTTATCAGAATCCCGATATTCTGACGGATCCATCACAACATGTCTTCATATTAGGGACTGAAATGAGTGTTGGCAGTCAGGTGCTGGAGGAGTGGAGGAACGGATGTGAAGAGGACACAATCAGCGCCAACACGCACTCATCCACATAAACACTGCTGGGCTTATTACACACAGCACTGATCTGGCACTGCACTACTGTGTACTAGACCAGACAGCAGGTGCACACGCAAAAGTTTTTGTTCTAAAAAAAGAAAGATGCACACAGAAAATGACTTTAATATGACCAGATTGATGGATTCGAAGATATTTAGTTTGTTACAATGTGCAATCAGTAGAACAAAAACCTCAAAATTATAGTTGAAATGGGATACTGCTGGAATTTTTTTGACCTTGAGAAAAAGCTTAAAGTATAGACCAACAAATTTTATGTTTATTAATTTATTTCATGTTGGTATATTTTTGGGAAGTATGCCCGTTTTGACCTGATGTCCATTGGAATGGACAAAAAAATCACAATGAAAGCAATTATATAAAAAAAAAAAATTCATTTGTTTTCATTTATAGAAGCCTCATGAGCTGGGAAAATGTACTTTTATATTTTTCAGAACCTTGAAACATAATTCAGGTCTGAGGGGGTTAAAACGGCTTGCCATAGACATGCAACCATCTGAAACTAAAAAAGGATACTAAAGCTTCGGTTTGTGATCTCCAAGTTCCACAGGTTGATCCTCAGGTCATCTGTGGACATGTATGTTTCGCAGTCACTGTTGACCGAGATGGAGTTGATGTGATAGGTGTGAGCATTAGAGAAAATGCGACGAGGTGTTGCCTCCACCATCAAGTCCATGGGTCTCAACACAGGCACCTGAGAGGAGGAGGAAGACACATGGTTAGGAAAAGAGACAGATAAAGAAAGGAAATAATGTCAGCAAATACTAAGATATGCAAAGCAGGATGGTCCCTGGTTCGAGTCCCACTGAATTCCGTTTTCGGTAACGATTCAAAGTCATGCAGGATAAGTGAATTGGAGAATAGATCGTGTCTATTAGCCCTGTGATAGACTCCCCATCCATCCAGGGTGTTTCCATGCTTTTGGCCTGAGACGCTGGGTTAGGCTCCATAGGGGTTTGGAAAATGGATGGATATCCTTCCCATTAGTGAATGCCTATTTAGTCAGACTGATTAATCTGAACAAAATTAGCATACTCAATTTCTGCTCTAAAATATGGAATCTTGAGTAAATACGGTCTAAAATAGGTGATTAATTCTGTGTATTTCTCAAAGTAATGTGGTTTGAGAGGCCTTGCTATATTATGAAATGTAATATTAATTATAAAATACTGTCAAGGGTATTAGTTTGTCTCTATGCATTCTCCAAGTGCAGTAGATGTTTTGCATCAAATCTGTTACTGTATTTTAAGGATGCACTGATATGAAAATTTTAGCCGATACGGATAACAGCTAATTCTTTAAAGTTGAAAAGCTGATTCCCCCAAAAAATTGGCAGATCAATCTAAATCCAAATTTGTAGATAATTTTAACCTGATCTCATTCTCAAAAACAAAAGTATCACCATTAAAGTTCATGTCCCAAGCACATATTTATAAATATGTTCTCATTATAATTTTATGTAGCCTGTATGACAGACTTGCGCTGTACAACTGTATTACTATACAACATATATTATTATTTAGTTTTTTTTTTGCTTAGGAAAAACACAGATAACAGAGGTGGTCTTTTCTCAAATACTTGCCCACACCTGGATCCGGCCAACTCCTAAACCTACACGGTCAAAATCTGAAGACATGTGGAGTATTAGCACCCACAATGCAGTGTGGTAACAGGAAACACAGGTCTACCATCTCTTTAATGATGACTAATCCTTGGGCCGATGCTCCTACATGTGCTTCACGGGAGGGGTAGAGCGTCGCAGTCAGTGTCTGACTCCCCATGAGGTTTTTAATGCGCGCAGCCCTCCACTAATGACAGAAGAGGCATGGCAGACATGTCCTACTCACTACAGAGACGAGGAACGCTCATCATCGAGCAGTGGGACGTGGAGGAGGGGCACACGCTACCACGCCAGGTCATTATCACCTAACACATGGGAACGCCATCTTTTCATTTCTGTTAGAGAGTGGGGGTGGGGTGAGGGATGTCCTATTGTTGATGTATACATTAGAAATACATTTTCTATAGCCTTTACTGCTTTAATTATTAATTTCATATCATATAATATGTGAAAGCAAGTCTGGCTTTTTTGCATGAAATAACTTTCCGCTCAAAAATTCTTCTTTTTTTTTTCTAATCTGACAAATTTAATTTACATGTCACATTTCACTCTAAATAGAAAAAAAATATATATATAAAGCATATTTTAAGAGAACTCCGATTTTTTGGGTCTTTCAGATTTCCGGTATGTCCTCTACCACCCTACATGTGCTTTCAATAATAAAATTAGCCCAAGGAGCATCACGTCATGAATTCAGTTGACAGGACCACTCGAGACTGATTGAAGCTATTATCTCTCAATCAAGCGTTAATTAAATTTGACTGCTGGGATATTCCCTCACTAATGATAAGAGGGGGTTGAATATGTGGGTACACTTTATTAACACATTATACATAATTCATAACTTTAGCATTGCGGATTTAACGTTAATATGGAAATCATAGATCAGCGTGGATTTTGAGAGAGGATGTGGAGTAGTAAAATGTGTTTTTCTTATTTCTTAAAAATGTCAAACTGATTGATTTTTAATGATTGTTAATGAATTCAGGCGAACCATTCTTTTCTCATAATACGGTTGTCATTCCTGTATATAGTCCTTAATACGCTTACGTTCACAGACTGTGTGCCCACGCTGTGTGAATGAAACTGGATTGGGCAAATATTTGTCTATCGCGTCAGAAAGTACGAGAAAGACGACAAACGCGCGTGTTGTCGGTTTTCATGTTTGGTTTCGGTAACACAGTGAAATGGATATGAGCTGTGTGATCTGAGGATTTTAGATCGAGTCACTGTTCTCCACTGGAGCTGCTCCCGTCAGTTTGGGGTTTTACGCGCGACTCAAATACTTCGCTCTCCATCCAAATATATTATTTAAAAAAAAATAAATAATAATAATTTATAACCAGGTAATGAAGATTTGGCTGCTGACTGAATTTTAGTTTTATGGATGTCACCATCCCACTAGGCTGCTTTTCATAGGCTAACAAAACCAAACATCCTTTTAGCCCACATGTTTCTTTGGCCCCATTTACACTGCATGGTTCAAGTGACCCAAATCCAATTTTTTTCTCTCATGTGGCACAGATCGGATATGACCGGTGAACGTGTAAGCAAGAAAAAAGAAAAAAAAAACGCATGGATTCCGATTTTCTCAGATCGGATTCAGGCCTCACTCATATGTGGTAATAAATCAGATATGAATCGGATATGTGCATTTGCGTGTGCCATGTAAGCAGACAAATTCCCCAGTAAATGCGAGTCGTACGTCATTGAAAAAGTGCGCGATGGAAGATAAAGGATACACAAAGTGGATTTCATGTCTTTTGAGTGTTTGGGGCGAAGAGTGCAGGCAAAAATGCAGGGATAAATCCGTATTTGTAGACATTTCACGAGATATGGAGAGCATGGATTTAAGCGCTCGTGGCTAAGGGCTCTCCTCATTTTTTTCTCCGCCGTACGAGACCAATGTTTTGATGACTTTCAAAATATTGTGGAAAGAAAACACCGGATAATTTTATTCGCATCTGCATCCATTGAATTTCGTGCCGTTTTACTCAATTTTCCGGGTCAGAACGTCTACATTTGGTAATTTCATCAGTGTATAGTGTAAATGCAAAAATCGGATATGGGTCACTTTTAAAAGATGATGCAAGCAGGTCATCAAAAAAAAAAAAAAAAAAAAAAAAATCGGATATAGTCAGAATATCGGATTTGGGCATCAAGACCTGCAGTGCAAATGCAGCTTTTGTCTTTGAGTCAAACACAAAGCGTACATGTCTTCCCAAAGATGTCTCAGATTCACTGTTTTATTGACAGTGACTCAACCCCCTCCCCCCAGCAGAAACAATTTTGCAGGGTGAATCCCCTCATGTTTGGAGTGCAGACAGAGATGAAGGCAGTAAACACTGGATAACAGTCAGGGCAGATGTATCCTGTGGAGTCCCTGAGAGGGATCCACCTTCACCTCCCCCTTTATCTCTCTGCTCAGTCTGTGCAAAGTGATAAATGCCCTGATTTTGTACAGCTCTCGTTGCTCTGGTCTCCAGTGGGCTGCAGTGTTAGTTAAGGGAAAGCTGATGGAACTGCTGCCGTCTCATTACAGTCGTCTCAAGTACACTCTCCAGAGCCACCAGTCTACTGTATCCTCAAAGGAAGGAGAGGTGTAAATTCATGCTAAATGAATAATGGATGCAGGTCGAAATACCTGGAACTGTCCCAGATTTGGAAACTAGTAATATTAACGTGTACAATTTTAACTTAAAGGTTGTATCAGCGATTTCAGGCCCAAACAAAAATGATCACATTCATCTAATCTTTCCTAGCGATCCGCACTAACCATTTAAAGACCAAATACAGTGTTTACAGTATTCAGGGATTGTCTGTGAACACACTTCAAGTGTCATGTTTGTTTCAAACAGTACTTTTTATTCAAGTATGCATTCCTAAGCCCATTTCCAATACCTTTTAACCTAAATTAATTTGTTAAAGACTACTTTTTTCTTTCTTTTTTACTAAAACTTGACTAAAACCTTTTTGAAGTTTTATAAGTGACTAAAATGTGACTAAAACTTAAAAGCATTTTCAACCAAAAGACTAAGACTAAAACTTAAAGAGCTGCCAAAAACAACAAGGCAATGTATAATTAAAAAGGTTCAATTACACATAATTTTTGAGATTTTCTCAAAGGAAAAGTGGAGGTCTTTGGTTTGTCTTGGAGTCTTCTCCCAAACCTCATTAAATCATAGAAATATGTTGCCGTTGTTTTAAACTGTAATCAATAACTCAATGTCTCTTAGGCAGCTGCCAAAACTAAATCCAAAGGAGAACAACAGGCCGTGCATACTCTGAAAGAGGAAGAAATGACAAAACAGACCTTGCCTGGCATCAATCTAACGATTCCCAAGAGAGAATCCCAGAGTATCAACACAACATTAACATTTGACATTTATCAGCTGCCCCCAGCTGTAGCAGCGGGTCACCCCTGGACACGTTCCACTTCTGCAGAGTAAATCCATGTATGTAGGAGGGGATCCACACTGGCCTTCCTCCACTCTCACACCTCAAACCTCGATGAGACCAAGTCTATAAAATACTCCCCAAACCCCCTACCTTGTCAGCTGTATTTGGCGAGATATGAAATTCCTTTTCCAACCCATAATCCTCCTCTGTTGCGCTAGGAGTGCCCACTTCCACTGGGAAAGCTATGGCTGCCAAATTACAACAGAGCTTGACCTTAATTTTTTTCCCTTCACATACTAGAGCCAACAGATTAAGACTCCCTTTCTCCTGCAGGAGACCGAATGGCAAGGGGAAGACTAGAAAAAAGATCTCTCAGTACCTTTAGCAGACTTAAAACCCCCAGAGGTACTGAGAGGGACAAGTGGCACTCCAAGAGCAGGTCTATTGCCACTGGGCTTTGCAAAAAGACCGGCGAGTCTTGATTTTAAGGGACTTTGCTTACCCTCAGAGCTGTGATGGTGGTAGGGTCCCGTATCCTGCCATCTTCATCCTTCAGATTGTAGCCCTCTGGTCGTTTGTCTCGCTCACTGATTTTCCATAGTTTCACTGTTTTATCTGGGAAGAGAGATGATATGAGGGACAACATGTAAGGTGGAAGCAGTGTTTGTGATGTTAGCAGCAGAGAAAAACTGCACTGGCCGCTTTACAATTATCTGTTGAAGACAGTTTTGCGGCTTAATAATGTTCTTATGGAAACTGTGTTTTTTGTTGTTTTTTTTTTGGGGGGGGGGATTTTTTGATGAACAGCATTTATTTTAAATTATAAATGTCTTTACAGTCATTTTAGATCAATGTAATGCAGCCTTGAATTTTCTTTCAAAAACTAAAATCTTAAAAAGTAATAATAATTGAAAAAAAATCTGACCCCAAACCTTTGGCCAGTAGTGCATACAGTATATGTACAAAAAGATGGATTTTTTTTTTTTTTAAGAAAATATTTTGACATGATTCTATATGGTATTTTCCTCTAATTTCACAAACTTTGTACCACAATGAAAAATAACATATCGCTTAAAGAAGCACGTTCTTTGTTCTTTAAAGAGAACACCCTTTTAATTCCAACAATTCAATATATTGTATTTTTTCTAAATAGTGAGAAAGTTATATGCAACACCACAAATATCTAGTAAAGAAAACGGCAGAGTAGCCCTCAATCGGGTCATCGACTTTTACTTATTAAAAAAAAGGTTCCCTTCATCTCAGTGGAATAAGATTTTGTGACTTTTCATACATTACTTATCTATACATACACAAAAAAAAACTGGGCTTGATTCAGTTGTTCTAAGACTTCTGGTCTTCGGGGTCAATATGACCCCACATTGAAATGAATGGGAAATGTGAAAAAAAAAAAACTATATATTTTCTTCATGTGTCAAAAAAAAAAAAAAAAATCCGGCATAAATCTGAGAATTTTTACACAGAAATGAAGGCCTAGTACTTGAGCATAAATGCAGTGAATCATGAAAAAAAAAAATTTCTAATGCTAAAGCTAATGGTGTAGTTGAGGAATTGTGTGGTATACAAAAGTACTTTATATCTCCAAAAACATTAATAAATAGATGAGAAGTAAAAAAAATATATATATTTTATACATTATGATTAAAAATGTATATTTTTTGTACAATTACTCAATCGATTGTTGGGGTCGTATAGACCATTAGTGTAAAGAGGAAACGAAGACCATTTGAAGGTCCATCCAAACACACATATACTAATGACCAACAAGTCTTTTCAACAGGAAAGTGAGAAGCATCAGATCATATGAAGAGAACACAGTGTGTTTGCTCACCATTGGTGGACAGGAGGAAATAGGCGGCATTCTGTTGAGGCAGCCAGCGGATCTTGTTGATCTTCTCCTCAATCTCCAGGCTTTTCAAGTAGTCAAACTCAGGCTCGTGGCTCTGAAAGGTGCTGTAAACATTGTACTCGCCCCGCCGCTGAGGGTGGTTCTTACTCTGCAAAGACAGAAGTTGTTTATTGTCTTTTTGATTAGTAGCATTTGCAGACATCCTATGTGCATTTGGTGCATTGCTTTGTTTCACAGCCTATATAATGCATATCATGAGAGAAAAATGCATCCCCACATTATCAGAGGATCGCATTTACAAATCATACAGCAGTCAACCTAATTATACATTTACAGGGTTTCTGCAGGTTTCACAAAGTCAAATTTAAGGCTTTTTAAGACCATTATGAATGAAGTTTAAGACCTATATCACGGAAAAAAAATGTTTTTTTTAAATGTACAAAAGGAAACGCTTAACGAGTCTCAAAATTATTCGCAAAGTAATTTAATTTATTCAAACTGAACATTCGTCGAAAATCAGCGCGAACGGTCCCGTGATTTTGGAAATTAGTTCTGTTTCTGTTTTTATAAAATCCCCTATTACAAAGCGCGTAATGTAGGCCGTTTTATCTTTCCCGCACCAGAAGGATTTAGTGATGTCAGACTCCGGAAACATCATTTGAAACAATGTAGGACTGGTGTCTTGTCACCGTGTGGAGAACCCAGAGCACCTCCGTCGGCTCTGATCCAAAAGCAAAATTAAAAATCACCAAAAATCTGATCCAAAATTCAGATATTTCAAGCCAAGTACTGCTAAACTTAAAATCCGTTTTATGTCCGTCTGTGGTATCTGAGATACGCGCCAATAACACGAAAGCTCAAAACTGATTGGCTGTTGCATATTGGTCTATTTTGTAGTCGTAATACAGCGAATTATATTTGAACTAGCAAAATAAAGAACTACAACCACAGAATAATTTTTTTTTTAAACATTCCAAAACGCTGCAGAAACATTTCAATGAGATTTACATGGACGTAGGAAAATTAAGACCTGTTTAAAATTATTTAAGACCTAGAACACAATACTTCAGCAAATTTAAGACTTTTTAAATTGTGATTTAGAAATTTTAGACTTTTTAAGACCCCGCGGAAACCCTGATTTAGGACATTATTAGTGGCATTAAACAAATTATAATTGGAAATTTCAGCTCGAATATTGGCTTATATTAAGTCTCTCTTTTACAGTCGTATGTGAAATGCGTGCTGATTTTTCTCTTTGTTGCTGAAGGCCGTGAAATATAAGAGGGGCAGGTCAGGATCTCAATGCACAAAGGTGGTCTGTGTCAGGAATATCTGAATGCCGATCAGAGCGGGGAATCCTTCAGGGTCAGTGCTAACCTTGGGAAGCGTCTAAATCAATAAGCAGGACTCACACAGGCCGAGAGAAGAAGAGGGTATTAATGGAAACAGATTTGCCCTCGGTGGGAGGGAGGGGGTTAAAGGGGGTCTGAGACAGAGTGGGGCATGAATCATGGTGTGAGGATTAACAGACACCAAGAAATCTCTTTAAAGATGATGCGAGAGTGAGACGAGGAGGAGCAGACGGCAAGGTTTCACACTTTTGTGGTGCTAGACAAAACATTGAGGGGTTTTTAAATCTCTGAAGGTTTGTAACAGACACACACACAAAAACTAATATCAGGATATCTCAGGACTACCATATTTATAGTCTTATTTTATGGTTATTCATAATCATGATTGGTAAGTAATACTAGCGTGACCATATTTTGATTACCAATATCCAGGACACTCGGCCAGGCAAACAGATACTCAAATTATACTCGACGTTTACTCTAAGATGCCTTATTAATTTCACTACATTTAAAGTAGGCTATGCCTCTGTATGGATTGAAAACTGTTAAATTACAAGACACAAATCTCAGATAGGCTTCTCAAAGGTTACTCAACATGTTTTATTATGACAGGTTTCAAAAATAATGAATGAAATAATGATAGAAATCATGTCTCTTCTGTATTATAAATAATAAATACCTCCAAATTGAACAAAAACAGCTCACAAACAAACTAAAAAAACGTATTTCTAGCTTTAGTTTTCTTCCACTTTATACTGCTTTTCTTCCTCATCCACCTTATTTGCCCATCTATATTTTGCTGCAACAAACGATTATTTTGATAATCGATTAATCTAACGATTATTAGAACGATTAGTCGATTATTTTGCCGGCTTATGAGTAAGTCTGGAACAGTTATTCATCTTTTTCAAATAGTTAAAACATTGAGTTATACATATTCTTACTATAATATAAAAAAAGAAAATCAGTTCAGTTTTTGAAATGAGTCAACTAAACAGGTAATTCGGTTTTGTTTTCAGATTTCAGTCCAACTCAAATCACACACATGCTCTCTAAGCATTGTTTAATAAGCCCACTGCTTTTCTTAGAACTGAAACAGAAAAAGGGCCATTTACTTCACAACACAAAAATGGTAAAATATTAATCTGCAAACCATTATTATAAATATAAAATTACAATCTTTTTTACATGGCAATTGAGCTGACAGAGATGTTCTCTTTCACCTTTTAATTTACAGTATGAAAAAGAAAAAGAAACTGCCATGATATTCTTCCTAAACATCTCCTTTTTAATTCTTCATGATTATGGAACGAAATACAGGCAAGTGATAAGACTATAATACCTAATAGTTACAATAATAAAAACAGCCCTGATTCCTAAGCTCGATCAAGCTTTATTCAATGCTAAATAAATCTTCACATTACTGTAATTATATTATTATTGATAATATTATTACTATTATTAGTAGTACTGCTATCTAATAAAGAGATTTACGTTACCAGTTAGTTAACTTAGTTTAGTTAGCTCCAGCTGGAGAACACTGAATTCTCACCGGCTCCTCTTTTGCTTTTGCTGCCTTGCATGTATTGCACACGACAGCATTGTTGGTTTTAAGCTTTGTGAAACTTTCCCAAACCTTGCTAGTTCGGATTCGTTTGCACTCAGTCATAATCATAATTCGCGCTGTTTTTTTTTTTTTTTTTACCGCATTTGTAAAGGGCTGCATTAGACTCTAGCGCCACAGCGCTGTAGCGGTCAAAACGCGATATTGCACGCCCTTACATTGGGTCACGTGAGATCAAACGACTACTCGACAACAAAGATATTTGTAAAATTGGAATTTGAACTAAATTTGAGAGATGTAATTTGTTATTTTTCGAATTGTAATCATAGAACAGAACACATAGGAAATATTTTTATTTTATTGGCAAAGTATTTTATTCATAAATGCAAATTTTCTTTAAGAGTACCCAAATTAAATGTTTTTCTCTGTGAATTTAATTATTTTATTAACACACTAAAAATAATTAATAACAAAAAATTTGCCAAATTTGTGAAAATGTGTGATAATATGTTGAGCGATATGTAATTTAAGTTACTTCCTGTTTTTTTGTTTGTTTTGTTTTTCATCTTTACTGTACTTATATTCCAATTTTATGTAATTGTCTCCTTTTTCTCATGCTATCATCTGTTGTTATTTGAAGTTTGTCAATAATAAAAATAAAAAACAACAACAACAAAGATATTTGTCGTCAATTTTTATTGTCGACAATGTCGACTAATCGTTTCAGCCCTACTGTAGAGCTGATCTTTCCCAGCAGTTTTTTTTGAAAACCAGGACATTTTCATCACTTTATAATAAACAGACGGCCAGGACAGGACAGGACAGGATATGTTGGTCATCCAAGTAATACTCAGTAGATTTTGGTGAATACAATGTCTACCCCGAATTACCTCCTGTTCTCTCTGGAAGACCACCACTCGTCCACCTTTGTCCCCAGTGGCCAGGAGTTCTCCTGTCGGGTTGAACTCAACCGTGGATATGATGTCAGCTGGAAGGGAGGAAGAAAAAAAATTATTCTAAAAGATGATATTTTAGAGCTTCTAGAATTTCCATTTAATAATCTACATTGAGACAATAAGTATATTATAAATAAATGAATATTTTTTTATTTACGTGAAAACCTTTGGGACTGAATTGAAATATGTCAGGGTCGAACTTTTTTCGCTCTAGATCTATTAATTAATAAATGTATTTTTAAATGTAAAAAATGGCATTTATACATAAAGTAACTTCAATATAAAATAATACACCCCTTCTACAAAACATGGACAAATTACAAAATCCAGTCAATAAAGGAGAATTTACCAGCCCGACCATCTCATGTGAAATGATGAAACGCTCACCATGCTTTCCCCTGTCCATCACCATATGCAAACCCCACCAAATATCATCCCACCACCAATCATCCCACCAAATCTATTCTTCTAAAGTCAGAAAGATCCAGAGACATTTGAAATGTGAAGTAAACAGCAAGAAATTCAAGGTTGACGAAAAGATCATATGGCCCGACCATTTGTAACGCTCTCGACATCAGATACTCAAAGAGAATTCAGGTCATGATCATCAACATCAATCCAAGATGCACTGGAAAAATCCCCTGTGGATGTTAATGAACTGAACGACATTGTTAAAGATCAGACTCATTCAAAAAAAAATAAAAGATCACAGTCACATGCAGAGAGGACTGATTGCTTTTAGATAAGATTACATTGCATTTGGACCAGCCCAACACAGTAAAGACACATGAGGAGGACAGACTATAAGAATTCATTACAGCAAGAAACTTTTTGCATCCAAAATGTCCATGTCTTTCTTTCCTCGGTCGAAAAGAAATTAAGGTTTTTGATGAAAACATTCCAGGATTTTTCTCCATATAATGGACTTCATTGGGAACCAAACGGTTCAAAGTCCATATGAGAGTTTCAGTGCAAACTGCAAACTGTTCAAAGGGCTTTAAACGATTCCAGACGATGAATAAGGGTCTTATCAAGCGAAACGATCGCTCATTTAAAAAATAAATTAAAAAGTTTAAGTTTTATAAGCTCAAATGCTCGCCTTGCTCTGTTCTGTGATGCGCGTCCATGACTCTCCTGCTCGAACTCGTTCATCAAAATGAACAAATCTTTTTTCGAGTTATGACTCAAAGGGTCCTAGATAAGACCCTTATTCATCGTCTGGAATCGTTTAAAGCCCTTTGAAGCTGCACTGAAACTCTCATTTGGACCTTGAACCGTTTGGTTCCCATTGAAGAAAAAAATCCTGAATGTTTTCATCAAAAACCTTAATTTCTTTTCGAATGAAGAAAGAAAGACATGGACATCTTGGATGACATGGGGGTGAGTAAATTATCAGCAAAAGTTTTTTTGTTAAATAGATAAACAGATTGTCTCACAATACTTAATACAATAACATATAGTAAAGGTTTGATTCAATGGCACGTATTTCCACCGGTTAAAGAGGTCCGTCTAGCACGTTTACATTGAAAAACAATGGAAAAGTAGCAGAGTGTAATAGAAAAATGTGTTCTGTGTGAACTGGTGTACACAACAGCTCTCTCTCTCTCAATGCACATCATGTTCTGAACTGCAAGTGGCCCGGATCCAAACCGGCAAAGATTCCTGACACTTCAAAGAGACGCACAGCTGCATGGCTCCCATTGTGGGATGACACTGTATCGAATCGCCAGCCCACCACCAGAAGAAAGTGGACCAGGGCGGGACGCTTCAGTAAGACAAAAGACGACCCCAAGTAGCAGCAAATCCGTTTCCATTTTGGATTGTCGGTAAACATCTTCACGCACATTATTTGTCGCTGTGTTAATGTGCTGGCAGGAGTCTACTATGTTTAGCTTACATCAGAGCTTAAAAATAGTCTAGCATTGTATACATACTGTTCTTGTAGGAGACGGATGTTTACCTCCAGCTATCTAGGTTTCAAAATAACCTGCAAATCCGTACACAATCACAGTTTTAAGATTGTAATCACACTCCCATGCTGGCACACCATTGTAGCCTTTAGAAATTCTCGAATGGTAAAAGACGTTACAGTTCAGAGTTCATTAGCAAACACCGCTCTGACTCCCTCTGCTGTGCTAGTCCCGATCGATTCCTACCTTTGACACATCTTCCTTGGTTTTCCTCAAGGAGATGCATCTGTTTCTCTGGCTTTGAGATGTACTGTTGCAATCCTTACAGCGAAAAAGAAAGGGTTGTTTCTGCTGCGATAACCACAGTTTTGCTCTCTCTCTCTCTCTATCACATGCAGGTAACTCTATTTCATTGAGCATATCATCTCACAATCCTTCAGCTCTCCCCACGCAATGTCAAAATGAGTCCAGCGCTCCCAAAATAATCTGTCTGGAGTCATTTGCATAAATCCCAAACAAATACAGAAGGAATGACTTCTAAATATTTGCTTTTATCCATTTCAAGGAGAGAAAGACAGAGGGAGAAGCTTGACAGAGAGATGGAGAGAGAGAGAGAGAGACTGACACCAAGACAAGAAAAGGGGATTGAAAAGGCTTGTTGTTTTCTCACCCAGATACACCTCTCTAGGCTTTTATATTGTCTGGAATCTGGATGGTGAATTTAAGTGCAGCGTTTCCATGACAACTGTTCTTTAGACTAAAACAAGCACTGTGTGCGCTTCTTGCAAAGACTTTGTTCATGTGGTGTGAACTGGCATCGCACTGAAAGAATTTAGAGTAGTCGGATAAATCTTAGGGAATGTAAGGGTCGAAACAAAGAAAAACTAAATCGTGTTTCTTAAGGGAAATAAAGCCTTTTAGGAACACTAATATATCAGTGTTCCTGATCATGCCACCTTCAGAAACATGATTTAATATATAGACTATATACACTCACCTAAAGGATTATTAGGAACACGTGTACCATTTCTCATTAATGCATTTATCTAATCAACCAATCACATGGCAGTTGCTTCAAAGCATTTAGGGGTGTGGTCCTGATCTCCTGAACTCCAAACTGAATGTCAGAATGGGAAAGAAAGGTGATTTAAGCAATTTTGTTGGTTGGTACCACTCATTTCCACTACGAATAGGAAAAAGAGGCTACAATTTGCTACAAGAGCTCACCAAAATTGGACAGTTGAAGACTGGAGAAATGTTGCCTGGTCTGATGAGTCTCGATTCTGTTGAGACATTCAGAATTTGGCGTAAACAGAATGAGAACATGGATCATCATGCCTTGTTCCCACTGTGCAGGCTGGTGGTGGTGGTGTAATGGTGTGGTTTTCTTGGCACACTTTAGGCCCATTAGTGCCAATTGGCCATCGTTTTAAATGCCACGGCCTACCTGAGCATTGTTTCTGACCATGTCCATCCCTTTATGGCCACCATGTCCCCATCCTCTGACGGCTACTTCCAGCAGGATAATGACGATTTCACAAAGCTGGAATCATTTCAGATTGGTTTCTTGAACATGACAATGAGTTGACTGTACTAAAATGGCCCCCACAGTCACTTGATCTCACCCCAATTGAGCATCTTTGGGATGTGGTGGAACGGGAGCTTCATCCCACAAATCTCCATCAACTGCAAGATGCTATCCTGTCAATATGGGCCGACATTTCTAAAGAATGCTTTCAGCACCTTGTTGAATCAATGCCACGTAGAATTAAGGCAGTTCTGAAGGAGAAATATATATACATTTAGTACATATGTATTTACATTTTAAATAGTTTAGATATGTTACCATTGAAATTTGCCACTTGAAAATGTATGCTGATTTAAATAAAACAAAATTTTAAAATTGGAATATTTCCTGTGGACCGGGGACCAGGAAACCGGAAAAAAAATAAAAAATGCTAGTCTTAAAAAAAAAAAAAAAATCACCCCCCTCACAGTTGTCAGGCACGCAGAACATATTGAAGATTACAATAAAAGTCCATGGGACCAAACTGTAAGCATATAAATTTATGCTGTGAAAACGGACATTTTAACATGACGTCTATGGATATTTGCTCCCTTTTGGGACCGCCCTCTAGCGGATTTGAGATGTATTGCAGTTTATCGCACTTCCGGGTGGGCTTCATCTTTCAGATTAGAATGTTGCCGCTTGGTGTAAACGATGTTATTTATGAAAACGGAGAGGGGGGAAATATTCGTTTTGCTAAATACCCGGCTTTGTGTAAACGTGGCCTTAATGTATGTTTTTTCAAACTGTCAGCAAACATTTACGCCAGCAGTCTTGGCTGATCACCTTCTAGGACAATAGTTTTTTTTTTAGTGCAACACAACAGTTTTCTGTAGAAGCACACCAAACAATACAAGAGACAGAGCCATGGAGCTCAAGAACACTTCATATCACACAACTACAGTCACCCACGCTGGTAAAACAACAGCAAATGTGAAGCATTTCAGAGCACACAAAGCATCATGGGGTCGAGCATTAAGGGGGTGGTGGGGTGGGGGATGGAATAATTACATCAAAATCATATCCCGATTCCTTGCGGAAGCAGAATCTTAAATGAGTTCTCAAAGATGCAAAACATGCTGACCTAATTAGGCCCCTGGAGTACACCGTTTCTTTAGTACTTATGCTTGCATGTGAATCACATACACTTGCCATCAACACTTGCTATGTTTTTTGAAGCAAGAAGTATCTAATATAATGGAGGGATGATGTGAGAAAGACAGTACTGGATAATGTGTATAATAATAGTGGAGGAGGTTTTGGAAGGACTGAGCGGACAGAATCACAAAGCACTGGCGTGTATTCGCGAGTAACGACTTGGCAGTCAAAGTGTTATTGGACGCTAGATCCAACCATTATTAACACATTAGGAATGTGAGGTACTGAATAGGAAAGCTAATTAATGGAGCAACACGGATGAGTGTGTGAGCTGCCGGCTTTGTTCATGTGATTATGCCTCTGCATTGTCGATGAGTACCGTCAGTTCGTCAAGAAAGAAAAATATTGTAACCAAGGATTTTAAAGTACATAAATAAAATTATATGCTAATATACTA